TCAGGGTCCGCTTACGAGTGAAAATGTGGTATTCTGTTCTTTGTGTATATGATAGATCACTGAGTATGATCGTAACATCATCCAAGTCAGGCAAAGTCCATACGTGTGTCATTCTTTATGACTGCATAATAATCCAGCGTGTATATGTACCTCTTTTTACTTATGCAGTCCAAGTAGGTGGAGCCACATGCATGCTTCCCCACACCCAGCTAATTTAATCATTTTTCTATATTCATTATGATAGAGGTGTGGTCTCACCAAGTTGCCCAGGCTGGTCTCAAACCCCTGGGCTCAGGCAATCCTCTCGTCTCCACCTCCCAAAGTGCTGGAATTACATTTTTAAGGGTGCAGTTCAGTAGCATTAATTACGTTCTTATTGCTATGCAACCCTCATCACTCTCCAGCTCCAGAACTTTATCATCCCAAACGGAAACCCCACTCAACACTGACTCCCCCATTCTTCCTCCCTCCAGCCCTTGGCAACCACCATCCTACTTTCCATTTCTATGAATCTGATTTCTCTAGGTTCCTCATCTCAGTGGAACCATACAGTAATTGTCCTTTTGTGACTGGCTTATTTCACTTAGCATAATGTCCTCAAGGGTCACCCATTTTTTTCCTTCATTTTTTATGTATGTATGTATGTATGTATGTATGGAGTCACAGTCTCTCTCTGTGACCCAGGCTAGAGTACGGTGGCCTGATCATAGCTCACCACAGTCTTGACCTCCTGGATTCAGGTAATTCTTCTGCTTCAGCCTCCCAAGTAGCTGGGACTACAGGTGTGTGCCACCACGTCTGGCTAATTTTTTTTCTTTGTTGAATTTGTAGAGAGGAGGTCTCTGTATGTTGCCCAGGCTGGTCTCAAACTCCTGGGCTCAAGTGATCCTCACATCTTGGCCTTCCAAAGTGCTGGGATTACAGTAGTGTGAGCTACTGTGTCTGGCTTATTTATTTTCTTTTAAAGGCTGACTACTATTCCACGGTATGTGTACAGACCATATTTTATCTGTCCATCCACTGACGGACACTTGGGTGGGTTCCACCTTTAGGCTATAGTGAATAATACTGTTATGAATGCAGGTGGACAAGTATCCATTTGTGTTCAGTTCTTCTGGGTGTTTACCTGGTATATATCCAAGTACACCTATATACACTTGGGTGTATACCTGGGTAACTCTTTTTGAGGAACCGCCAAACTGCAGAGTCCACATTCTTAATCATTTCTCTGTGCTCAAATCTTACTGAACAGGAAGAAAGGCCTTCTGTCTGTCTCCTTCCTCCTGCCCTGACCTTCCCAATCAAGAAATGTTCCCCTGCCCCAGGGAGAAAGGAGCACATGGAAGGCTGCCTTCCAAGGAAGAGTCTCCACGATGGCGCAAACTCTCTTTCTCTGTCCTCCTTATAGCTCTTTGTTAAACCTTTCATTCTCCCCCACAACTACCCTGCCTGCCCCAAAGGGGACTTTGTTTTCAGTCTCTCCTTGTGTAGTCTGGGTCTCTGCTGACCTTGGAGCAAGCATTCCGAAGAGCTGAGTCTTTCATTTCTCTGCTTCAGGTGCTGCAGGGGTTCCCAGTCATGGATACGATAAAGTCTCATTTTCTTTTTCTTTTTCTTTTTTTTGAGTTGGAGTCTCACTCTCAACCAGACTGGAGTGCATTTTCTTGGCTCAGAATTCAAGATCCTACCTGACCTCCACATCCCCAGGTTCCAGCCAAACCTATGACTGCTGTTTCCCCAAATGCACCATGCCGTTCCTCGTCCCGGCCTGGCAGGTGCTGTACCATCTACCTGGTACAGGACCTAGATTAGTTCTCCAGGGCTGCTGTAACAAGGAACCCCAGACCTGGTGGCTTAAACAACAGAAATGTGTCGTGTCACAGTCTTGGAGGCTGGAAGTCCAAGGTCAAGATGTTGGCAGGATTGGTTCCTTCTGAGGGGTGTTGGGGAGAATCTGTTCTAGGCCTCTGGAGGTTTGCTGGCAGTCCTTAGCTTGTAGACAAACCACCCTGATCTCTGCTTTCAACTTAGCGTTCTCCCTGAGTGCAGATGCCCTCTTTTTACAATATGCCCTCTGGTCATACTGGATGAGGGCCCACTGTCATGACCTCATTTAAACTTGACCACCTCTGGAGAGACCCCATCTTCAAATAAGACCACATTCAGAGGTACTGGGGGTCAGGACTCCAACATAGCTTTTTGGGGGGAACACAATTGACCCCATAAAAAGACACTTTTCTTTTTTCTCTCCTTGGCCCAACTCATCTCTCCAGGCCAAGCCCTGAGACTCCTCCATAAGGGAGTTACCTTCCCTGGGCTGGGTTGAGCTAACTGCAACTGCCCCTGGAGACAGGGCTGCTGAGCTCCTCCTTGCCAGCCGCTGAAAGCCTGAGGGAAACAGGTCAGAGGTGTTATCACTGCTCTGATAAACCCAACTGGCCCGACTTGAGGACTCTCTTCTAAGCCGTGTAACTGCTTCCTGTCCAGCCCAGCATACCTTCCTTCTGCCTGGATTCTCTTCCACTCCCTCTGCTGGAAGAGACTTTCTTGAGAAGCCTTCTCCAGCTTCTGCAGGCAGGACTTTTCTTTCCTTCCCTTTGTGTGTTTCTGTCTATGCATACTTCCCCTACTCCAGGTAGCTTACTGAGTTGTCACTGAGTGTGTGTGTGCATTACGTTCCTAAAGACTGTGAGCATCTCAGGGCAGAGGCTGTGCCTGTTTTTTTGTTTTTTGGTTTTTTTTGTGTTGGAGTATCACTCTGTTGCCCAGGCTGGTGTGCAGTGGCACACTCATGGCCACCCCAGCATCGACCTACTGGGTTTGGCGATCCTTCGCCCTCAGCCTTTCAAGTAGCCAGTACTACAGGCATGTGCTACCACAGTCAGCTAATTTTTTATTTATTGTAGAGATGAGGTCTCGCCAAGTTGCCCAGGCTGGTCTCGAACCCGCGGGCTTAAATAATCCACTTGCCTCAGTCTCCCAGAGTGCTGGGATTATAGGCTTAGCCACAGAGCCTGGCCTGATTCTTAAACAGCCACAAACTTTATTAAACCAAGAATCATGACAGGAAATTAAAGTTGTTAAACAACTGCATAAAAACAGGTTCCTGACTCAATTTTTTCTTTTCTTTTTTTTTTTTTTTTTGAGTTGGAGTCTCACTCTGTCTCCCAGGCTGGAGTGCAGTGGCATGTCCATGGCCACCGCAGCCTTGACCTCCTGGGCTCAGGCAATCCTCCCACCTCAGCCTTCCAAGTAGCTGGAACCACAGGTGAGTGCCACCACACCCGGCTAATTTTTTTATTTTTATTTTATGGTAGAGATGAGGTCTCACCAAGTTGCCCAGGCTGGTCTTGAACCTCTGGACTCAGGCAATACTCTCACCTCTACCTCCCAAAGTGCTGGGGTTACAGGTGTGAGCTACTGTGCCCAGCGACAATTTTTTCTTTTAATTGTGATGAAATTCACATAACATAAAGTCAACCATTTTAAAGTGTACAAGTCAGTGCTATTCAGAATGTTGTACAACCACTACCTATGTAGTTCCAGAACATTTTTATCACTCCAAAAGAAAACTCCTGTACCCACTAAGTAGCCATTCTTCCCTCTCTCTAGACTCTGTCAACCATCATTCTGCTGATTCTGAATTTGACTATTTCAGAGACCTCATGTGGGTGGAATCGTGCAGTATTGGTCTTTCTGTGTCTGGCTTGTTTCATTTAGCAGTGCCCTCAAGCGTCATTCATATTGTTGCATGGTGCAGTTTCCTTCTTTTTAGAGGCTGACTTGAGTTTTATTGGTTGTATAGACCACATTTTCTTTATCCATTTATTAATAGACATTTATTTCCACATCTTGGATACCGGAATACAGCTACAGTGAACCTAGGATTGCTAATATCTCTTCAAGGTCCTGTGGGCTTGCTGGATCACGTGGTGGTTCTAGGTTGAATTTTTTGAGGAACCTCCATACTGTTTTCCATAGCAGCGGCACTATTTTGAGTTCCCACCAACAGTGCTCTCCTTCTTCCCTGATGGTTAAAGACAAATATTTTTTCATATACATGTTGGTCATTTCTCTATCATCTTTGGAGAAATGTCTATTCAAATTCTTAGCCCATTTTTAATTTTTAATTAATTAATTTATTTTGATAAAAATAAGGTCTTGCTCTGTCACCCAGGCTGGAGCACAGTGGCATGGTTATAACTCACCACAGCCTTGAACTCTCGAAAGACCATTTTAAAATAGAGTTGTCAGGTGAAGAGGTTCACACCGGTAATTCCAGCATTTTGGGAGGCTGAGGCGAAAGGATTGCTTGAAGCCAGGAGTTTGAAACCAGCCTGGGCAACATAGTGAGACAACTTCTCTACAGAATAAAAAAAAAAAAAAAAGCTGGGTGTGGCGGCACATGCTTGTCATTCCCGGGAAGCTGAAGAGGAAGGACTGCCTGAGCCCAGAATGTCAAGGCTGCAGTGAGCCATGATCGTGTCATTGCACTCAGCCTGGGTAATGAGTAAGTACACCAACTGAAAACAAAAATAAAATTATTAGGTTTTTTTGCTGTTGAGATGTAGTAGTTCCTTACATATTTTAGAGATTATACCCTTATCAAATATATGGTTTGCAAATATTTTCTCCCATCTGTATATCGTCTTTTCACTCTGTTGTTTCCTTTGCTGTGCAGAAACTTTTTGGTTTGGTGTAGTCCCACTTGTATATTTTTGTTCTTGCTGCCTGTGCTTTTGGGGTCATATCCGTGAATTCATTACCAAGACCAATACCACCTTTGTTTTACCTACTCATACATCGAGAAACATTTTTGACATTTCTATCTTTTGGCTATTGTGAATAGTGCTGCTATGAACATTCACATACAAGTATCTGTTTGAATACTTCCATTTATTTTGGGTGTATCCCTCATAGTTGGATTTCTGGATTGTATGCTAATTCTATGTTTGGCTTTCTGAGGAATCACCAGACTGCCTCTTTGTCCCTTGTGCCTAATACAGGAGATGACACAGAAAAGGTCTAAGTAAATACTTGCTGCCTGGGAGGAAGGATGGATGAGTGAGGGAAATCCTAGATGGACGGATGGGTGGATGTGTGGGAAGGAGGGTGGAGAGGGAATGGTGGGTGAAGAGTCAGAAGGTTGAACGGCTTCCCTGAGCCTCTAATTCTCTGGGTCTCTTCTACCCAGGGTCCCCCCAGCTGCGCCTGGTGGCTGGGCCCAGCAGATGCTCAGGTCGGCTGGAGGTGTGGCATGACAGGCGCTGGGGGACTGTGTGTGACGATAGCTGGGACATGCGGGACTCAGCCGTGGTCTGCCGGGAGCTGGGCTGTGGTGGACCTCGACAACCGGACCCTGCTGCTGGCCGCTTTGGCTGGGGCGCAGGCCCCATCTGGCTAGATGATGTCAGCTGTGTGGGGACCGAGGCTTCACTGTCCAACTGCCCTGCTGCTCCCTGGGGGAAGCATAACTGCGCTCACAATGAGGATGTTGGGGTCACCTGCACTGGTAAGGAGGCCCTAGAATCTGCTGACTCTGGCTGGGCTCTGTGGCTCAGCCTATAATCCCAGCACTTTGGGAGGCCGAGGCAAGTGGATTGCCTGAGCCTGCCGGTTTAAAACAGCCCAGGCAACTTAGTGAGACCTCGTCTCTACAATAAATAAATAAAAAATTAGCTGGGCATGGTAGCACATGCTTATAGTTCCGGCTACTTGGAAGGCTTAGGTGGAAGGATCGCTGGAGCCCAGCAGGTCAACACAGGGGTGACTGTGAGTGTGCCACTGCACTCCAGTCTGGGCGACAGAGTGAGACTCCAACTCAAAAAAAAAAATCTGCTGACTCCAAGAGGGCTTCCTGGAGAGGGAAACAGTACTAACATTGGCACTAACACTGATTGAGCACTTCTTAAGTCCCAGCCCTGTCCTGGGTGTTTTCACACATGTGATCACATTTAAACCACATAATAAGTCTAGGTTGGTGAATGTTATGCCCATTTTACTGATAAAGAAGCTAGGCAACAGAGGTTAGGTAATTTGCCCAAGGTCACACAGCAACTAAGTGGCAAAGCTGGGACTCCCACTCAGAGAAGCTTCTTCCAAGAATCAAGGAAGTCTTCCACAAAGAAGGGAGTTTTAACCGTTTTTAGGTGGAAGGAAGCAGGGCACTGGGAGATGGAGAGAATTTAAGTGAGGGCCAGTTAACATAAACTCAGGCAATGTATTTGTTTGTTCATTCATTCACTGATATCTGTTGAGGCCTATTACTAAGTGCCAGCCACTAAGTGAGCTACTCAAAATGGAATGAACATGATCTTGGTCTTTGAATAGCTCACAGTTCATGGAGAGGAAGAGATGCACAAACAAATTATTGTAAACCCATGTGACCCATGATAGTTGGAGAGGTCACCAAAACCATTCTCAGGCTCCATAGTTTGCTAGGACTCACAGAAACCAAAGAATCTGTTATACTCAGGATTAGGGTTTATTACAGTGAAAAGAACAGACTAAAATCAGCCAAAGAAAGAGGCACGTGGGGCAAGGCTCAGGAGAGACCAGGTGTGAGCAACTGTCCTCGCCCAGTGGAGTTGTGTGGACAGCACTTCATTCCCCCAGCAATGATGTGTGACAACACACATGAAGTCTAGCCAATCAGGAAGCTGCCCTGAGCCTTGGTATCCAGAGTTTTTAATAGGGGCTTGGTCACTGAGACATGGCTGACCAAAAGTCACATTGTTAGATGATCTGGCATGGACCAAGTCCCCAGGTAAACAAAGAATCTCTTATTTCCTATGACATTCTGAAGACTTAGAAGTCACCTCCTAAGAGTCAAGGGCAAAGGGCCAAAGCTTTCTTTGGGCAAGGTTAGTCCTTTACTGCACACGTGCTAATCAGGAAGATGTAAAATGAACAGTGGTGACTCAGAGGATGGAGTCATCAACTCTGTTTGAAGCTAAGGTCCCTTTCCCCCTTCCATGGGAGACCAGAAAAGGGTTTTAAGCTGGAGAGTGGCCTGTCAGACCTAGATGCTCCTCCAGTGGTCGGTGAGAACTGACAGATAGGGAGACCTGTTAGAAGGTACAGGGTCTGTGAACTGAAGTAGAAGCTGAGGAGATGGGGTGGAGGTCGGGTGTGAGGGGATGAAGGGGGTCAGTCACATCCAAATCGTAAGAAGGTGGAAGATGGTTTCAGGTCTGGCTTGCCAGTCTCCTCAGGATCTGATACAGTGTCTGGCTCCTGAGAGGTGCTAAATATCTGTGACATGAATGAACGTGCGAATGAATGAATTAGTGGGAACTTGGTGACCGACTGGAGAGAAGAGGGGCCTGGATGGAGGATCCTGTCACCATGGTGTCTCCACCTTCTCTTCTCTCTCCACCTGCCCTGCAGGGCCCCCTGGCCTGGACTCCATCTCAGACCCCTTCAGTTGGAGCTGGGTCCCTGGGCTAGGTAGAGACCAGGATGCCTGGCTCCCAGGAGAGCTGGCCACCAAGCCCTCCACAAGTCTGACCCCCAGTGTTCCAGAGAAAACAACCACGAAGGTCCCAGGGAAGATGCCTAAGAGTACTAAGAAGTGGGTGACGAAAAATGCAAAGAGACCAACCACTCAACCCCCTGGGATGCCAACCACTAATCACTCCAGGGGCCCGAGCGCCCAAAGCCCCCCAGAACTAACCTCACAGACCACTACAACTCTGACCACTGAGACCTCCCACAGATGGACCCCACATACCACCATCACGCTAACTCCTCAGGCACCCCGGGAACAGACCACTAAGACCATGGTAATGCTGACCACTCACAGCCCCCGAGAAACAACCTCTGAGGCCACCATCAACAGGATCCCTCAGGCCTCCCTGGAGTCATCCACCAAGATCCCAGCAGAAGGGTCTCCAGAGTCACCTCAAAACCTGGCCCCCTCCCCCACTGCAAGCACCCCTGGGGAGTCAGGTGAGCGGTGTGAGGGGAGTGGGAGTGAAGGGAAGAGGCTGGCCTCTTTCCTGACCTGAGACCTTCCACGCAGGCCTGTTCCGGGTTCGTCTGGCCGATGGGCCCAACCGGTGTGCTGGTCGGCTAGAAGTATGGCATGCTGGACGCTGGGGGACAGTGTGTGATGACAACTGGGACCTGCGGGATGCCACTGTGGCCTGCTGGGAACTGGGCTGTGGAAAGGTCCGGCCCCGTGTGGGCAAAACGCACTATGGCCCTGGGACCGGGCCCATCTGGCTGGATGACATGGGTTGTAAGGGAAGTGAGACCTCATTGAGCGACTGCCCCTCAGGGGCATGGGGGAAGCACAACTGTGACCACGAGGAAGACGTGGGGCTCACCTGCACTGGTAACAGGGGGCGGCGGGGCAAGGGGAGGTGGCTGAGAGAATGGATCCAGGTGGGGACAGGCAACTACATCATGGTGGAATCTACAGATCTGGGATCAGGGTAGGGGATCCCAGAGTCGCCCCAGAAGATTCCAGAAGCGGGGGGAGAAGCAGCAAGGATCTCTGAGACAGGCTGCATGGTTAACTGTTACTCAATTTCTCTCAAGGCTATGCCAACGATGATGATTATCCCCCCTGGACCTGGGACCCCACCTCAGGAGAGGATCTGAGCAAGGGGACCACCGTGGCAGGGGTGCCTGGACACACTCTCTCCTGGGGTACCACCAGGCGCCCAGGGATCCCCTCGCCGGCAACAAGGCGCCTGCCAGACACAGGTGAGTGGCGTGACCGTGGGGCCTCCATTTGCCTCCCTGCAGGATTTCTAGAAAGACTCTTCTAAAAGAGCTGACTGAGGTCTCAGGGACGCTGGACGGGTTTTCCTTGTCACCAGAGAACCCAAAAGTGATCTCTCCTTGGGCTGGGCAGAGACACTCTCCTCCAGAGCCCAGAAGAGAACAGCATCTAAGCAACCAGGCGAGGCTTGCATAAATCTCGACCCAGAGTCCACGGCCAAGGGCCACCGTGTCACCATGTCATCATCCCCACTCCCCCAAGCAAGTGAAACCTTACCTGTTCTTGTAGCTTGTGCTCTGGTCAGGGTCAGGCTATGGCTGAGACAGGAGCAGGACTCTGGCACAAGGCTTCTCTCCCTGCCCCGCAAGAGGCAGTCCCTGGGCCTGACCCCCTCCTTCTGGCCAGGGGGGTAAACCTCCCATTCCACAGCTCTGTCCCCTCTGCTCCATGGCCTCTGTCCTCTGTCTGTCACGTCTCCTTCCATCTCTGCTACCACACCACACCTGGGGTCTTAACTGGCCTTGGCTCCCATGTTGCTGCCACTAGCATATTCCCCCACCCCTTCCCTGCCTCTTTGTGTCCCCATGTCCCTGTCTCTCAGGGCCTCTCCTGATCTGTCTGCTGCTCTTTCCCACACTGTTGCTTTTCCTTCCTTTTCAACAGTGTGGGAAAGAGCAGCAGACAGATCAGGAAACTCTCATGGTTTCTATATCTCACTCCATTTTTTTCATAGTTGATTTCTTTTTTTTCCTCTGTGCTGTTCTCTTTTTCTTTCATTTTCAGTTTCTTGCCCTCATCATCTCTAACACTTTTTTCATGGTCATTTCTCTTGTTCTCTGTCATCTTTATCATTTTTTCCTTTATAATAGAGATGGAGTCTAGGTGGTCTCAATCCCCTGGCCTCAAGTGATGCTCCAACCTTGGCCTCCCAAAGTGCTGGAATTACAGGCATGAGCCCTCATGCCTGGCCTTATTTTTTTTTTCTTTTTCCATCGCCAGTTTCACAGTCCTATTATTTATTTTTCCCTCTTTTTCTTTTTTCCGTTTTTCATCATCATCACATTTGTTACCCTATTTTTCACGATCATTTTCTCTGTCTTTTCTCCCGTCTTTCTGTTTTTTCTTTCATGATTTATTTCACACTCTCATCATCTTTATTTCTCACTCGATTTTTCCAGTCAATTTCTCTTTCTCCTGACTTTTTTGTTTTCACTTTGTTTCTCACTGTAATCATTTCTTACTCTATTTTTCATGATCAATTTCCCTTTGTCTTTCTCCCGTATCTTTCTGTTTTCTTTCATTATCAATGTGTTGCTCTCATCATCTCTATTTTCCACTCTCTTCCCCCACAATTTCTATCTTTTCCCCTCTGAGTCTTTCCCGGCCACTGCAGCCTCAACCTGCTGGGCTCCGGTAATCCTTCCACCTCAGCCTTCCGAGTAGCCAGAATTACAGGCGCGTGCTACCACGCCTGGCTGATTTTTTGATTTTATTGTAGAGATGAGG